TATAAAAATGATTTTTTTAGGTATAAATGCATAAAAACTATTGTTTTTAAGCTGAAAATAAAAAAAGTCAATATTTTCAGGTTTTTTGAGAATAATTTTTTTTAGGCATGTTTTTTATGTAAAATGATTATTATTTTTGAAGTTTTTATACAATATCGCTTCTTTTGAGTACCAGGTTGACATACTTTAGAAAAAGTTTTTTTTTCAAAATATTAGGGACCCGTCAAATTTTTGAGGGCCTTGAGCTACCCCTAAAAATAATTTTTGTTCAAAAAAATTTTAAACCTAGTGTTTTTGCATTAGATAAAACACATTTAGGGGGTGTCAGCAGGTTTTTCTCAAAAAAGTTGTTTTATGGACCACCCTATAGTGTAAGGTAAGAAGAAAAAGTGAGCAAATGCTTATCAAAATACACTTTAGTAAGTGTATATATATATATGTATATATATATATATATATACATATGTATATATATATATATATATATATATATATATATATATATATATATATATATATATATATATATATATATATATTGATAGATAATTACAAATAATCATCACATTGTTGTTGACATTTCTATATCGACAAATAACAACCTTCTCACTCTCAGACAAGGTCCAAAAGCACATTGTAAATGTAGTTAAATTTGCTTTATCTGCTAAGCTTGAGCCGCTTTCTCATCTTTTTAAGGTTGCATCTCTTTCTTTTTTCTGCAAATACTATCATGGTTCCTTTTTTCTATAAATACTATCATGGTCCTTGCTGAAACGAGCTATCATTTTTAGTTTGATCAACCATAACTCATTCTTGTTTGACTTGTCATTTAGTAAAGTTGCATTCTTTTAATGTAAATGTCCCTTCATGTTATAGAAATTTTTATTCATCTAGTTTTTTTCCTTACACATCAACAAAATTTCAAAATTCTTATCCATCTTTATGTTTTTATGACTTATACAATCTAAAATATTTTTAGTCTTCAGTTAACCGTTTCCTTGCTCTTTAACCATGTTCTTTTTTTTCTAGTAACTTATAGCTTAATTTTGTTGCTTGCAACCTTGTTTTTGAAGGTTTGAAGTTGCTTGCAACCTTGTTGGAGGTAAAGTTTTGAAATTTTAAATTTAATATATATATATATATATATATATATATATATATATATATATATATATATATATATATATATATATATATATATATATATATATATGCCAGTATCTAATAAATTGTAAATATATAAAGTATTATAAATTTTTAATTAGAATTTTTAAATATTTAGTTTATGAAGCAAAAGGTTATGAGCTTAGTCCTGATATTTTTTAATTAGTTAAACTTCTGTCTTTTGTGGTTAAATTTAAATTTGCAGAACCATTTTAAGCTTAAAACAATTAAAAACAAAAAATATGTAAAAATTTGATTTAGCATTTTTTATGTAAAAAAAAACATGAAAATCAAAGCATAATAGTCATATTTCGAATTCCTACATAGTAAGTTTAGCACATACATGTTTGTATAAAAAGAATGTTGGAGATTTTTTTCTATTACTACTTTAATAGTGATGTTTTATATATTAATATAACATATAAAATATATTGCATATCTGCCATTAATGGCATTTTCCAGCATAGTATGCAAGTTTAGCACATCCATGTTTGTATAAAAAAAAAAATTGTTTAAGATCATTTTGTAATACAATTTAATAGTGATGTTTTATATATAACATGTAAAATATATTGCATATCTGCCATTAATGGTCTTTTAAATAAGTCTTATTTAAAATGCCATTAATGACAAATTTGTTTTGATTTAGTGGTATAGTATTTAAATTTTTTTTTATAGTCATCAATATGAAGATAGTGTTTATATTTTTTTGAGTTTTTATTTTTGTCTTAATCTTGTTTTTAAAGTTAAACCTCTTGTAAGCGAGCTTGAAAATTTACGACTAAGAAGGTCTGATTTTGAAATTAAGAAGACGATTGGTAGAGGACACTTTGGAGAGGTACTAGTTCATCATTTAGATATTAAACAGTTTAAAATGTTTACTTATAATAAATTTTTTAATAAATTTCTTTAGGTTCATGTTGTCAGAGAGAAGGTTACTGGCAATGTTTATGCAATGAAAGTGCTCAAAAAATCTGAAACACTATCTCAAGACAATGTTGCTTTTTTTGAAGAAGAACGAGATATTATGGCCTTTGCATGTAATCCCTGGATCACATCTCTTCAATATGCTTTCCAAGATTTTGAGAACTTATTTCTTGTAATGGATTTCCACCCTGGAGGGGATTTGTTATCTCTTCTTGCAAAATACGATGATATATTTGAGGAAGATGTTGCTAGGTTTTATCTTGGTGAGATGATCATGGCTATACATGCTGTTCATGTTTTAGGCTATGTCCACAGAGATATTAAACCTGAAAATGTTTTAATTGATAGATTGGGTCACATTAAGCTAGCCGATTTTGGTAGCTCAGCAAAACTATCATCAGGGAAAATGGTAATTTTGTTTTCTATAAATTTGATATCCTAATTTTTTTTTTTAAATTATTACTTTTTTTCTTATTTGTCTCCAGTTGTTAAATTAATGCTAGCTAAGTAAAAAATTAGTTAATTTTATTATTAGTGTAAGAAAAAAATTAGGAAGTTAAAATAAACATCTCATTCAAAACAAAATACCATGAATTAGATCAAATCAACTCTCTCTATCTCTCTCTCTCACACGCACACTTTCTCACGTATATAAATGCTATGTAAGTGTATATGCGTGTTTAGATAAGTAGTTGACATCATACCGATATAGCCTGCCACCAAAAGCTTCAGTACATGAATTAACTATTATATAGCCTACTGCCACAAAAGAGTGCCACTACATTGACTGACAGTTTTGGGTGGGCAGCAATTTTTTCTTTTATTATTCTTTGTTTTTTCTTCTTTTTCTAAAAAAATTTTCTATTATAAAGGTAAGCAAAAAGAGTAAGCAATCGCTGATCTATATACTCCATAGTAGAAAGATCAGCAATATACACACACGTACATATATATATGCCTACATGATTTATTTCATGTATCCTCATTCATACCAAAATTTGCTGAATGGTTTTGACTTGTATCTCTTGTCAAAAAAAAAATGATCAAATAATATCCATATTTAGTTAGGGAGATGTAATAAATAAAGGGGAATAAAAAATAAATCAAAGAGAAATGAAGAGATGTAAAAAATGAATGAAAGTGTCAAGGCAAGTTATGTTCATGTTAAAGAAAATGATTAGAAAAAAAGTGTTTTGGCAGAATTTTTTTTAAAGTAAAACAAAATAATAAAGGTATACCAAGAAAAACAAATTTGCTTGTTTTACTCAAAGCTTGCCGTCTCAATGTTAACCAGTCTCTCAAAGTCTTTAAATTCCAAAGAGTTTTAATAAATAATTAGTCATTGTAGAATTATGATAAGAAATCTGAATTTTTTTTTTTTTTTTAATCAAATTATAGAATTTTTTTTTGTTATTATAGATTACTAAAGAATTTGTTTAGTTACTTATTATTATATAAAAGTTTTTTTTTATCATTATAAATTACTGTAGAATTTCTTTAGTTATTTTATTTTCTAAATTGCAACAAGTTTGCATTAAAAATATGAATAAAATATTTCAGATATTTTAAGCTTGTCTATTGCTATAAATTATTTTTGTTTTGTATTTATTGTTATTAAATGATTATTATCCTTATTAAGGTTCTGTTAAAAAATTATTTTGTATTATTTCAAATTTTGACCGCAAGCGGCTGGTAGCAACTTTCGAGTATGCTTCACAGTTTATCTTGTTTTGTACATAAATTTTCACTCTAGACACATATAATTTGTTTGTTCTTAAGGTTTAATTAATTCTCTACATAATCAAGAACAAATAAGAACCATATTGTGTTATAAAAAATTATCACTTGACAAAGTTAAACAATCTTGAGTAATCCTTGATTAAAAAAAACCTCTTTAAATTTAGTTCTAAATTAAAGCAGCGTTAACACTGTAGAAGTATTTAGCTAAGTAATTAAAAACATCTTTTGAAGAAAAACATTCTTTTTATGCATTAAATGAGTTTTGTTTTGGACTTATTGATTTAGTTACTGTTAATAAAAACAATAGTTTTAAGTACTTTGCATTTCTTGTTTTTTAATGATTTATATTAAAAATTTATTTAATTAAAAAGTTCATTTGTTTAGCTTTCTATTGATATATAGTTTGTTATACTTTTGAAGAGATTTATTATTAGAATTTCAATTAGTTGTCAATGTTATGCATTCCAAATTTTATTCAAAAAAATGTGCGGTCACAGCATAAAAAGTTTTGTTAAAATGACTGGTTGCAAAAGAGTTGACCTTATAAATATTTATTTAAAAGCATTTATTTGCTAAACTTTTCATCGAGTACAAATATTCTTGAAATTCTTATTTAATCATGCAAGAATAAGTTTAATGAAGTTTGTTCTGCACACCCACTTCATAAGTATCACATATCTGGAAATTTATTCTGTAAAACATGTATTATCTTATTTTAATTTCAAAATTAAACAATTATTTTAAAAAAGATTTTTTTATTGTACCATTTATTTTGTGTTAAGATTACACATTTATTGTGGGTCATTACACAATGCATAAGCAAATTTAAAAAATTTTGTCTTATTGCTTATCATTGTTATCAATTATTAAATTATTGGTCAAGATTGCAAAAAAGTATAGCATTATCAAGTCAATTTTAAAATTGAAATCATTTAATGAAAAACTTTTAAATGTCAACATTGATAGTTTTTTGATTTGTAATTTTAAGAGGTTTTAATGTAAAATATTTGCTAAATACATCATAAATTGAGAAATGTTAAATATAATATTTTTTTTAATGTGTGCTGCAACACATGGACAATTTAAATTGCCATCTGTCTTGATTTATTACCGTTAAACATTAATTATTGCTTTAATCTACAAATATTTTCTAACTAAAAATTTAAGAATTCAGCAAATATCTCTAATAAATGATGTCGTTTATTAAAATGCTTTATTAATTTAAAATTTAAGAATTTGTAAAATGTCGTTTTGATAGGAGAACAAAAACATCATAGTGATAAACAGCTTATAAACTAGAAAAAAAGTTCACATTGTTTACATAAAAAGACAAAAAGATTCAGAATATAAGATAAGGTGATCAACATCTTTTTTGAATATTTATTATATTTAAGAGATTATTTATTATATTTATTACATTTTAACATAAAAAATTTAATTTTATTTGGTTCTCACTCTCTATAAAAAAACATTATTTTGTTTAGCTTATCAATCGTATGAATTTTACATGAAAGTCATACGCTTGATAATAAACGCTTATTTAAAAAACAAATAAAACAAAAAACTAATATTGATTCAAAAGAAAAAAATATAATGACATCATTTACAAAAACTCTTTGGAGTTTAACGCGCTTAAATAAATTATAAAGTCTGTAGATTGCAACGTATATTTCAAAAATTTTGAGAGACTGGCTAACATTGAGGCGGTGAGCTTTGAGTAAAACAGCAAAGTTTGTTTTTCTTGGTATCAGGGATGCGGAGTCCCAAAAAGGACTCTGAACTTGAAATTCACAAAAAGATTACTTCATCCTAGTTTTTGGTATCCAGGAGCTTTAAATTATAAATAAGTTTATGGACTACTAATATGAAAAAAATTAGAACTTTTAGGTTAGAGGAACAATCATTTTTTGAACTTAGAGTCTTTAGGTATAATGGCAGCAAGGACTCCGGTACTCCAGGACTCCAGGCTTAAAAACAATAACTTCCAAGTCATTAAATCTCATCAATTTTTTTCTTACAGCAGATCATAAGTCAACAAACATGTTTAGAGCTTCTGGACAATACAGACTTGAAAAAAGTAGAGATATAAAGGGACTTTTGGGACTCCGCATCCCTGCTTGGTATACCTTTATTATTTTGTTTTACTTAAAAAAGTTATGCCTAAACATTTTTTATCATTGTCTTTAATATGAACACAACTTGTTTCGACATTTTGGGATCCCTTTAAATTGTTTCTTAAATTGACAATTTAAGAGTTTTTCTTGAGAGTCTATCATGTATCAATCTTAATATTTTGTTATTATCTTTTAACCCTGAATCATAAAGATTTTCCACTTTCCTCATTATTCAATATTAGCTCCCAAGAATGACCAATCAGTTTGTGAAGTTATGGTGTTACACTGATCCATGGTCCAGGTAAGTTTATTTTTGTAACAAGTGGAAACTCTTTAAATTGGAATAAATAAAAATCTGAACAATAGCTTTTATATTGATCCAAAAAGAATTTTTTCCTCACAAAAAAATTTTTTTGAGGAAAACACTCAAAGAATTACTGAGAGCACCAATTTGAACTTTTGAAATATTACACAGGCAATTGTGCAATAATTAAATCCATGTTTGATTTTTTGTGCAATAGTTCTCTAGCTATATAGCCTGTTGTTGTTGTTTTTCTTTTTCCAATTGTATCTGGGTAGTCCTATTTTATACCTGTTTTTTTTTTTAAATTTCTTTGTAATGAAGTTTCTACTTGCTTCAGATATCTATTTGAAGTACTGAAAGGGGACTCAGACCAATCAAAAACTCCAGATTTCACATGTACAACAGTTTTCATGAAATGGTCAAATGTACCCAGTAAAGCATGAAGAACCTATAAAAATATCAGTAATTTTTAAATGTAATAATTTTTAATATTAAGTATGTTCACATATTAAAAATATAGAATAATATGAACACTATTACAAGATACCAATTTACTTGCATTGGCTTTATATCATAGGTTAGAATTGGTTTGAAGCTTTGTCTGGCCCTTGTTATATAATTTTTTTATTTTATTTTTTGATTATTTTTTAAGTAAAGAAACATCTTCTTGTTCAAGTTGGTTAAATATTTTATTTATTGTTATAGTGTCTCAATTGATTACAAAACCCTTTTCAATTACATCAATATTTAAATACTGATCTTTTGAGCATGTGCACAGATCACAATATCAAGTCTTGTTTTAAATAAAAAATTCTTAATGCATTTGCTTAACGTGATATATTTAACGTCATAAAATTCTCGTAATTTTTTTATTTTTAAAGACAAACTTTTTTAAATTACTGCAATAATATTAATTACCGCAAAACGAGTTAATTGTTATTTAACCGCTTTTTTATAATTACTATAAAGGAATGTTTATTTTTTATTTTTATTTTATTATTATTAAATAATTAAATTTAATATTTTTTTAAAAAATGTTTGATATTAACAAATTTCTTTCTTTTCTCGACATTTGCATAAATGAATTTAAATATGTAAAATTTTTTAGTTTTTAAAATGATTATTTCTAATTTCTATTTGCGACTATTTCTAATTGCGGCTTTGTGACTACAAATGATTTTTTATTTTTAAAAAATTAGCAAGTAACAAATAAAAAAGTTAAATTGACTTATTTACTTTCTTAATTTAAAG